TCTTCTTTCTGCTGAATATATCGAGGGAAAGTTGGTGTATCGTTGAATTTCCAGAAGAAAGAAAAGCAATAAACAAATTTTGTGGAAATAACTGAGGAGAAGGAAATTTCGTGTTAAGGGACTCGAAGATGCAGTTGAAGCTTGATGCACTTTTCTGTGACGATTTTTTTTTTTTTTATTGATTTTCCTTTCTGCTGAATATACCAAGAGAAAGTTGGTATATGTTGGTGTATCGTGGGAATTTCCAGCAGAAAAAAAGCAATAAAGAATTCTCGTGGAAATAACTGGGAAAAAGAAGGTTTGATGTTAAGGAACTTGAAGACGCAGTTGAAGCTTGATACACTTTCTTTTATTAATTTTCTTTCTGTTGACTATATACCGCGTGTTTTTCTTTTTTCTCGACGCAGTTTGCGTCACTTCCTGCTGTCTATTGTATTCGTAATTTCCTGCTGTCTAGGATATAAGTAACCTACCCGCCGTCTAATGTATTCGCTAAGTACGCCTTTCCAATGAATTAATAATTCTAAATAAGTGGCTATTGTTAGGTTTATGCAAAAATTCTCATCTTGTTTTTCCGGAGAATGTGTATTTATTTTTTGTTGTATTATAATATTAACACTGTATACTGTTTATCGTGATGAACACCAACTGTGAAAATTTTGAAAAGAAAAGAAACATACAGTGCCTCTTAGTCTTTTAATCTTTCTCCAATAATTGCTATAGTCTGAGTTGCTAATAACCCAACTTCAGTGGTTGATGCGACTCAAAATAAAGAAATGAAGAAAGGAAAAATATGTTACATTTGCAATATTTTTTTTTTCACGTGCACTTTCTTTTTGCATGTTTAATGAAGACAGTTATAGCAAATATTTGAATTTCTGTTGCAGTTCTGAATGAGCTCGAGGGCTTGGCGAGAGGTGCAGATGCCAGAGACTGTCCTCCAGCTTCGAGGGCGGCTTTGGACCCGGAACATGTGGCCAGGGTGGCGGAAAGTGCGAAAGCTGCCCTAGCTTTCGCGAGAAGCAGAAATCCGGCAATTCGGTGCTTAACCACGAGAGGAACTGTTCTTACGTCTAGTACTTTCACGATGGAGGAGGATGTTGATAAGGTAAGAAAATTGACGATTAATAAATACTTGATATGTCTCAGGTATGCAAATTAATTTGGTGCCCTTTTTGCACAAACTTCAATGTTTATTCAATGTTTGTTCAAAGTAACCTTCGTTATTTTGGACGATTTTTCTCCATTTATCGGGTAATTGACGAATTCCCCCTTTTCTGAAAAAATATGACTGTTTTTAGTCGATAACGTTGGTCAGACTTTGTGGAAAAAGGCACCGAATTAATTTGTATATGTAATACCAGATGTTGTGAAAGGTTGGGATCAAATTAAGTGACCAGAGAATCAGGAAATGAGTGACAGTCGATTGTTAGTTTCTGAGGTGCATCAATTTTTGATATAGAGTTTAATTTACTTCTTGAGATAAAATAGTCATGAAAGTCTGTGTATACACCATGAGTGTAAACTTGTGTAAATTAAGTATTCAGATGTTTAAAAAATCTCTTATCTTTGGAGCCTGGAAGCAAAGATTTCGTATCCTTACTTTTGCCCTCCAATTTTATTTTCGTTTTGTAGAATATTAAAAGTGGAATTGTTAACTTCTTTCTACCACGAGAAACAACTCGAGAATCTGGGAAACATATGCATCACTTCAGTGTATTAAATTCTAACAGATAATATTTTTGAATATACCGCCATTTCTTGCTACACTAAAACAGAAATCTGAACCCTTTTTATTACAGAATACACAAAAAAAAAATATTCAAAAAGTGTCGTAATCTCTTCCAAGATGACGGTACACTAATTCATAAACGAATCTGAAATACTCACAATTACCAAATAATTTCACAAAAAATCAGTTCCATTTGTTCCGTGCAATCTCGACACGCGAACGACATAAATTCTCGCGAGACTCGAGAAAAATGGAGAATGGGAAGAAAGCGAGGATAAAGCGAGTTGACGGGGGGGAAAAGGAAAAACGGCGCATTGTAGGAATTGACCAGTGTTCATTGAAGCGCGAATGTTATGATAAGGGGTCGAGAGAATCGAGGAACCCCCACGTGGTGTACAGATAAACCCTTCTCGTGGTAACTTCTGCACGCATCTTGGTTTGCTTATCTCGCTGGTAACACGCAAGAATACACAGGTAGGATAGGATCGTAACAGGAACCTTGATCTGTCAAACGATAGAAAACGAGCGCTTGCGAGCTCGTTTGATTTTATTTACTTTGCCAGAGCGTTGCCAGATCTGTCTTCTTCCTCTTCCTTGTCCTCTTTTCCTTCGTTTTCCCCTCGTTCCACCTGATTTTCTACTCTTTATCTCTGTGCCTGCCTTTTATACGAAGACAAATTTTTAGACGATCTACCTAGTGAAATTGACGCGTTAAGAAAATCAATTGCTTTAAGAGACTCGGTTCAAATTCAGCGAGTTTCAAAAAGGGAAGGTAACTGCAAGAAGCTCGAAACATTTTTTTTCAGATTTAGCGTGTCCAGCGATCTCTTTTGGTCAAAAATCTGGAGAAAATTCTTAGAGAAAGAATTCAACAATGGAACATCCTTAATTGATGAAACTTTAGTATGTAGTAGTTCTCGAAATAGTAGTCGACAGGTATTTTCTTTATATCGGCAATCGTTTTCAGTGAAGGGGTGAAAATCGCCCTCAAAGTTGGAGGTGGTAAATATACTTAGTCTAATATCTCGAAAACTATTGCAGATAGAGGAATTTTTTATTTTTCGTTGTACACAAGAATATTCAGTAAAGAGTTAGATATTCAAGAAACCTTTGGTAAATATTTTATTTATTTATGAAAAGAAAGATTACAAACACGCACTGTGCATGGCGAGGTACACAACAATTTTGAGAATAAAGGTAGAAATTCAATTTAATAATTTATTTATTTATAAAAAATAAATTACAAAGGCACAATTTTCAGGAAAAAGTTAGAAATTTAAGGAACCATTATAATTCTTTTATTTATTTATAAAAAAAGAATGCAAACACACACTATGCATTGCAAGGTACACTACAATTTTCAGGCAAAAGGTTAGAAATTTAAGAAACCTTGAAATAACTTCTTCCTTAATAAACTACAATTAACCCTCGCACCCTTAATTACAAATGCAGAAAACAGCATTCATACCACGTAAAATCGGACAAGTGGTCGCAAACTTTCAGCCCACAGTGTACATCGAGCTGTTCGTACGGTACAACAGTAAGAGAGTACCTATCCCTCGAAGGTCTTTAAACTTCCACGACCCATAAAATACAAGAACAAGAGGGAAAAAATAAAACGAAGCGCCACCAATTGAAATTCCCGCGATGCTGGGGCGCGTGTCATTTCATAAAAATAATAAGCGAACATCTGCAATTCTGTTGCAGGACGGGCTGACAAGAAACGATGACAGAATACTGGCTACGTGCTTGAGCCTCTGCAAGGCGGGTAACAAAGATCAAGTAAATGCAGGTACGTACGTACACACAGATACACACAACCGTATACCGATGCCTCTCCTCGTATATTTCTCGTCGAGTGGTATACATATACACCCTGAACACGTTTCAACCGTTTTCCAACGCTTTGATGGTGATTAATACCGCCTTCAGGCCCGATTGTAATGCTCGTTCCGCCGTGGAGATTAACCGTTATCGGCGTTGACAGTGTGCAACCGTGTTGCGATCGACGTCGTTCGTTACTTTTGCCCGCCCTTATCGTAACGGAATTTATTAGTCGACGGCCAGGCTAATTATTCACCTCTTCCTGATCGCGCGAGAGAACGGGCCACGAGATCGATTTCATTAAGAGCTGGTGCGCTAATTGAAACCGTGTTACCGGTTGAATTATATCCACGAGATATATGCTTTTGCTTTATCCTTTTTCCAAGCTTCCGAGTATTTAGCTTGCCGGGGTTATAGCTGTTTGCCTTGCAGAAGTTAGATTAAAGTTTCCTCTGGATAACGATGGTAAATATAGCGTTCGCGGTGCTCTGTTTTTCGTATCGCGAGAGATTCTCTGCGATTGGAATTTTAAGAGACGTTGGATTGTGATTGAGCCACTTAGAGGCCAAAGCGAGTAACTCCGTTAAATCAAGTTTGTCAAATTGTTTTTTATTTGTGAAGGGTTAGGTACTGTGCATGTGGTTTGATACTAAAATTGGAAGAATTTGAAGAAATGGAGTTAATCGCTTTGATTTGACTCAGTTGACAGTGGCTCAATTGTGAATGATGGTATTGAGATTCATATGATCGAAATAATAAGTAGATCATTTTCTTAACTATGTTTGATACGTATTAACCCTAGAAAATTTAGGGTAGGACAAAGAATGTCCACAAAGTTTTAATTTTTTTAGTTTTTGTGTTAGAAATTAATTGCATATAAAGATATTTTTTATCGAAATTAAAGTAAACCTTGAAATTTGAAATCAAACCTTTCAATAGATTAGGGTTTCTGGGGTTAATAGTAGTAAGTATTCACAAAATACTTAAAGTCAGCACTTGGCACCAAGAGCATAATACTAATCTTTATAAAATAAACTTCAGCAAGCAAATATTAACATCAACGTGCTATTTTTTTAAGTTTAATTTTAACCTTTCTACAGTATTTATTTTGTAGTTAAATAATTTCTTCAGTATGCAATTCTAATGGGAATTCTGCTGGGAACGTTTACACGTCTGCTCATAAATATTCTATTTGTCCATTTACTCTTTTAGTAATGTTTTTTATTCTATGACAATTTTGTTTGAAAAATTCGAATCACTTTGAACATAATTCGATGCTTGAAACTTTCGATAAGTCTTGATAGATCTTGAGTTTTTAAAGTTTCGATACATCTTAAAATCCTTGGAATTCTTGAAAATTTCGATAGCATTTTGAACGCCTTTGTCCAAGCAAGTATTATTGACATAAAATATTAAATACTCCTCAAGTCTCATCGAAACTGTAAAGACTCAAGACTTATCAGAACTCAAGATTCAGCACTTATCAAGACTTGCAAGAATTCTAAATATCAAATTTTCCAAGTGATTCGAATTTTCACAGTATTAAAAAGCTTCGAATCGCTCGAAAATTAAGATCCAAGCCTCCTACTGTGCAGAGCTGGAAAGAAATCCCCATAAACCCACTTTTTCTAACACAATCATAGCAATAGGACACTTGTCACTATTGGCCAATGCCATAACATCGACAAATCGACTTATCTAAAATTGTGTCATGTGAGATTCAGGCTATTACAAACTAGCATTCTCACCAACTCAATACGTCAAAACAATCAAATATGCATACCAATTCGTACCAGTGCATGCGTTGCAGTCTTCAAATGTTCCCTTCTCCACAATCACTATAACCACTACAACTCCTGCACCGTCACATCAGCCATCTTCTCATCTCTGCACAATACATCCATCAGAATCCCAATAACCGAAGGATCCCCAAACGAGAGAAGAATCTTTTTCCCACCGTCACATTAAGCTGTGTCAACGTAAAACCCTCTCTCAAGGGTATCCGAATCATCGTTCAGAAAGCTAAACAACCCTACGATTCTCGTTTCTACAGAGGAGGGTCAACCGAGGCGACTTCGAAGGGAAGTTGTGTTACTAACGGAAGACAGGAACCTAAGGGTGAAGGCTCTAGCCAGGGACGTTCCCGTGAGAGAGGTGCCCGACTTCATGCAATGGGCTGGCCTCGGCTGAGACGTTTTTCCGACCAAACACACCCGCTAACGAAAAATCTCCCGTTACCACCCCCGCCGAGTAAACTTGACCAGCAGCAGCAGCAATTACCAGCCGCAGCCAGCAAGACAAGAAAAGGAAAGAAAGCGTGGAAGAAGGACAGCATATACGAAACGAAACACGAAGAGAAACAACAAAAGCAACAAAGGGATATTCTCGCATCATGCTCTCCCCCCCGCATCATCGTGGCCGATCAGCTGTCACACGCGTGCGATGGATCTTCCGTTCACACACGTAAGTTCGTCCTGATTGTCGAGGTCGTGCTTGTCACGCGGTGATACGTTCTCTTATCGGCGAGGATGCAAGGGAAAGTGAGAGAGAGAGAGAGAGAGAGAGTGGATGCGTCTCTAGATCGCGTATTTTTCACGAACAGCGTTGCTTTGACGGAGGTCGAGATTTTTAGAACGAGGCGACTAGTGGACACATGAGAAACGGTAGCTTGTTTGCAAGTTGGAACAGAGAGATAAGACGAGAGGGATGAATAAATAGGGAGAGACAGTAGATAATGAAAATCGCGAGGTACGTGAACGCGACGCTTTTCACTTTGCTCGATTTTCTTCTTTTCTCTTCTTTCTTTTACCCTCCCTGTTGATTACGACGTCAGAGGGTGAGAAGTCGAATGCGGAGGCGTTAAGCGTCGCGGGAACGTGAGAAACGACGCGAATTCGCGTCCGGGAATAAAAGTGGCAGTTCGTTTAAGGGGAGAGAAGTAGGGAGAAATTGGTACTCGATCGAGAAGAAACGAACGAGAAATTGAGAGAAGTTAGAAAGGAGAAGTCGGTATTTTTACACACATGAATATTTTTTGGTTGATTTTTATCGATGACGACCGCCCCGCGGCCGCCTACATTTTTCTGTACCTTCCTTTTATCATGTTTGTAACGATCTATACACACACGTATATACAAGGTGTTCCTGCAACAATGATACGACCGTACAGAGTGATTTGTCATAAAAAAAAAGTAAGTCCAAAATGTACAGTAAAATTCTTGCATACGAGATTTCATTTTCGAAAATCTATTCGGTACACTTGCACCGACTGTAACATTCGACACGACGAGTCTCCTCGTATTTATACACACGAGCGATGTTATTGCCGCTATCGTACGATAACAGCAGTC